AATTATTTTTGATTTTGAGAGAGGGTCTTCCTGTAGTCCCAGCTGGCCTGGAACTATGTAGACCAGACTGGCCTTGAACTACACCCAAGCGCTGGGATTAAAGGTGTGCATCACCTCGACCAACAGTTTATACCTTATTTTTGTTTTCTTGTCTACCTTATTTTTTTAAATTTGACATTTTATGTGTATGAGTGTTTTGTCTGCATGTTTTGCCTGTAAGTGCACATGTGCAGTGCCCACAGAGAGCAGAGGGTGTCTTCTGGGACTGGAGTTAGGGAAGGTTGTTAGCTGCCTTGTGGGTGTTGGGAACCAAACCTGGGTCCTCTGCAAAAGCAGCCAGTGCTCTTAACTGCTGAGCCATCTTTCCAGCCATGCCCCTTCAACTTTTGTAAAGCAGCAGACTTAAGTGGTTATATCATTTACAAACAAACAGCAACATCTGGGCTCCCAGACGTGCATCTTTGGCAGCCCTTGTTTTCCATTTCACATACTGTCACAGTAATACAACGTTGAATCTGTGTCGTATCTTATTTTGGTTTGCATTTCTTCCCCGACAGGTTGAGAATCTTTTCATTCGGTATTTTGTTCTTGGATGTTTTGTGTATCATTTTTTCCTCTTTAGTATCTATTTTGTTTGTGAGACAGGGTCTCCCTGTAACCCCAGCTGGCCAGAACTCGCTATGCAGATTTGTATCTCAAGAAGGTCCGCCTGCCTCTGTGCCTCCTGAGTGCTGGGACCAAAGGTGTGCAGGCTACCACAGCCGGCCTCAGATTATTTTTTAAAAACCAACTCAAAAATCGTTAAGAAATGTAGTTAAGAACAGATTACAGTTGCCAGGAGGTAAATATTTTTATTCCAGGAAGTGAAGACATATCTTGAAAGCCTTTTGTTACACAACCTAGGCGCAAAACCTGACCTCAGCTACCATCCTTCACCCATGAATCTCCTCCGCAGGAAGGCAGACTAGCACCTGTTCCCCTTCGCGTCCACCCGCGAGCTCCCCTCAGACCAGGGAGGAGTCAGCGGAAGCACCCACGGGCGCATGACCACCGGAATCCGGCAAGGCGTGCGCACGGTCTACCTGGGCGGGGACTGGGCACTTCCGGAAATGGAGGAATTTGTTTCCCAGGGACGACCTTTCGGGACGGACAAGGACTGTAAGGTGAGTTCCGCCTGTCGGGCCGGGTACGAGCGAAGCCCCGACCGCCGCGTTAATATTTCTGTGCGTGTTGCGCGCGGTTTCGTCGGCCTATGTTTGGCTCCCTCTGCGGGGGAACCTGTGGGTGGGGGCGGTGGGCAGCTTCCTGGGGAGGGCGCGGCGGCCGGCGCAGGGGGCGCCTCTGCAGGCGGGGCTGCGTGCCTGTGGCCAGAGGAGTCCGGTGCAGACTGCCCAGCCGGACCGACGCGGGTTGGGGCCGGTGCCCTCGGCTCTGAGGAGGCAGGTCCGAGAGCTGCGCCGGCTCTCCCCTGGCGGGTGGCTTCCGCGGAAGGGAGACCGAGCCTGGAAGCTCTGAGCACAGGGAACTCCTGTTGCAAAGCTTAGGGAAGTGAAGTCGCGGGAAGGCCACCCCTGCGGGAGAGGAGTCAGGCAGGGCCCAGGCGGTAGATCTGGGGCATCCCGCTGTAAAGTTAGGGCTTCAGCACCAGGTCTCCCTGTGACCATCGGGGTAGGTTAGGGCAGGAGGGCAGGGTGGCAGTAACCATCGGGGCAGGAGGCGGGGAGGGGTGAATCGAGGTAATTAGGAGGTAAAAAGTGAAGACGCAGGTATGGGATGTGGATTAGAGAGTATCTGCCTCTGACCAGCTTCTGTTGGTAATGGCCACAGGGAATGAGGTATTTTTAAGAATGTTTTATTTTGTCTAACTAGGGTCTACATTGGCTAGAGACAGGGATCAGGTTAGGAAACTAGCAAAACTAGAATCGCTGAGGAGATTAGCTATTCATTTGAAAATCCAATGAGTAGATTAATGAATTTATGGGTGCAAAGTCACCTTCTGAAGGCCCCACCTGGTCTCTTTAATATCTCATGATGGAAACTGAATTTCAGCATGAATTTCACAAACCAGAAAGCAGATCAGTATTCACTGATGATTCTAAAGTTGCTGACCTAAGTGAATGGATTCCACTAAAAAAAAGAACAAACTATTCTGAGGCTAAGTGTTCTTTTTCTGTAGTGTTAAAAAACACAAAATGATGCTGGACGTGGTGGCGCTTGCCTTTAATCCCAGCACTCAGGAGGCAGAGGCAGGGGATCTCTGTGAGTTCAAGGCCAGCCTGGTCTACACAGTGAGTTCCAGGACAGCTGGGGCTACAGGGAGACCCTGTCTCAAAAAGACAAAAAAAAAAAAACCAAAAAACAAAAAAACAAAACAACCCCCCACCCCACAAAGTGTAGTTTTCCTTCCTGATTGTAAATACTTAGGTTTTGTTCACTATAGAAAGGTCAGAGGGGCTGGAGAGATGGCTCAGCAGTTAAGAACACTGGTTCTTGCAGAAGACCTGGGTTCAAATCCCAGCACTCACATGGTAGCTAACAACTGTCCATAACTCCAGTTCCAGGGGATCTGATAGCTTCTTCTGCCCTCTGCAGGCATTGCACGACATGGGTGCACTTACCTACATGCAGGCAATACACTCATACACATAAAATAAAAATAATAAAATATTTAAGAAAGGTCAGAACATACGCAACAAAGTACTTTATTAAGAGAACACTAAAAATCACCTAATCTCATTACTCAGGATGACTGCATTTTGATATGTTTCCTACATGTATTTCTTTTTCTGTGCATATTTTCACATGACAGAACATACTATATCTTACTATATCCTTTAAAAATTTGTTTATATGTATGAGTGTTTTGCCTCCGTATATCTAAGTGCACGCATATTGGAGGGCAGAAGAGGGCAATGGATTCCCTAAAGCTTGAGTTATAGATGGTTGTTAGCTACCATGTGGGTGCTGGGAACTGAACCTGGTCCTCTGCTAGAGCAGTAGTGCTCTTAACCGTATTCCTTTTTAATCAGTCATGCGAGGCAACTAAAGATTGAGCATGCCAGGACACTTTATAATTTTTTTTCATAACAAAAAATTCCTAGGCACAATTCTAGGAAAGCAGATAATTTTTGGCATATTTTCTTTTTGGGGTGTTTTATTTTGTTTTGTTCTTTGAGAGAGGGACTCATGTAGCCCCAGCTGGCCTGGAACTGGAACACATAGTTGAGGGTGACCTTGAACTTTTTTAAGATGAGAATTTGACTTTATTTATGCACATTTAATAGGGTAATATGGGATGAAATAGGGTAAGCATAAACCAAGAAGATGAAAACTAGGATAAAGTGTTAGTGTCATTTTTATTCGCAGGGAAGAGTCACAAAATGGAAAAAATTAGAATAATGAGAAAAACATCATAAGATGGTCCCAGAGTAGCTAGGCAACATGCTAGAATTCAAATATCAAAATTTTATTTAATCTATGAATTAAATAGAGTCCAAAGTTTATTTTGTTTAAGAATTTTTACATTAAATGGGTAGCAATTTGCTTTATAAAAATCAATAGAGCAAGTTTTGGAAGTAGTTTCCATTATCTAATGACTAGACACTCTCAAAGCAAAACTAACCAGCTATGCTCAGTAAGTTCCATTAAGCTCTTCTGGGCTAATGTACTATTCAGTTTAATACAAAACTAGCATTTCAGGTTTTTAAATGGCAGCAATAACCATATTTTGGCTTTTATTCTAGATGTTATTGACAGTTAAGATGACAGTTGAAGCATATTAAGTGAAGGTAGTTAAAATTTAATGACAACCATGACAAGCTCTTGGAATCTATGTATAGTATATATGCTTATACAGAATGAGCTTGTGTTGTTTAATTGGTATTTTTGGCATTTACACATGTATACTGAGAGAACTTAAAAAGCCACTGTTGGGGCTGGAGAGATAGATCAGTGGTTAACAGTGCTACTGCTCTTTCAGAGGACCCCAGGTCCAGTTCCCAGCACCCACATAGCAACTCCCAACTGCATGAAACTCCAGTTCCAGATCTGATGCCCTCTTCTGGCCTCTGTAGGCTCCTGTACATATGTGACATAAACTCACCAAGACACACATGCATATGCATTAAAAAAAATCTTTCAAAAACAACTATCAAAGGCAATTACCCTAAACCTACTGTGATAGTGTATTAAAAATGCAAATATACCATAGTACTAAAGTAATATGAACAATACTATGGCTTACCTGGAGGAAAGTGACTGGTTCCATACATGGCTAAACCTACATCAGTCATCCTGCTCACAATGGTGTATAAAAGCATCAAGTTTCCAGTAGAGAAATATTCTAGGAAAGTCACTAAGTCTTTTCAAGGTTTTATATCTGAAAAGCAAGATAAGGTTACAACTATCCTGAAATCTGATATCTGATCAAGAATAAGATTCTGGGGCTAGAGAGTTGACTCAGTGGTTAAGAGCATTGGCTGCCCTTGCAGAGGACCCAGCTTCAAATTCCAGCACCCACATAGTAGCTAACAACCATCTGTAACTCTGGTTCCAGGGATCTGATGCCTACTTCTGACCTCCACAGGCATTGCACGACACAGATGCCTTAAATAAATGCAGGCAATACACTCATACACCTAATAAATAAATAAAATAATTTTAAAAAGAATAAGATTCCAAGCCTAGCATGGTGGTTCACTCCTTTAATCCCAGGACTTGAGGGGCAGAGGCAGGGGGATCTCCATGTAGGCCATAGCCTACATAGCCAGATCAAGGCCAGCTGGGGCTACATAGTGAAACCTTTAAAGAGGAAGAAAAAAAAAAAATAATAAAATTTCAGCCATGGGGAAAAATTGAAAGATCCTCTTGTAGCACATGCCCGTGGCTCCCAGGGGAAAGCTTCATGTGCATGATGCAGAAGTTGCCAAAGAAACGACATTTAGCTATGTTTATGTGTGTGTGGCTTCTGAGCCTCGGGACTAGTATGATTTATTGGAATTTTCATAATGCATAATAATATGTTCAAAGATAAAAGCAAGCATGATTATAATGGTAACTACAGTCCCAGATGTTGACAGGATGTTTGCAAGTCTCCAATGATTTCATACGTGTTCAGTGAGAACGCTGTCAGCAGAATAGATTTTTCACTATGTATGCTATTTTTCCACTTTTCTTGATAAAACCAACATATCTATATTATCCTTATGCGTAATGATTGATCAAAGGGCCTGTCATTAATGGTCATCTTAATTTTCTCTCCAAAAGCCTACTTGAACCTTGTGTGCTTTATCAGAGCTCCAAGCATCCAGTTTTCACCACTGATCTGGAGCTCTTGATCTCCAAATCTCAGAACAACTAACGAGGCTGGAGAATTAGCCTGGACTAGCTGCAGGCAAGTGCTTTAATCACTCATCTCTTTAACCACATGAGCCTTTTAAAAGCTCCACAGTTGGTACTGGAAAAATGGCTCAGTGGTTAAGAGCACTGGCCGCTCTTAGAGAGGACATGGGTTTGGTTCCAAGCACCCATATGGCAGGTAACAACCATCTGTAACTCCAGTTCTAGGGGAATTTGATGCCTTCTGACTTCCGTAGACATTGCATGACATGGGTGCATTTTCATACATGCGGGCAGTACACTCATACACATAAAAAATAATTAAAATATTAAAAAATATTTTTTTAAATAATTAAAAAAAGTCAGTTATAGCTGGGTGTGTTTACACATGTAATTCTAGTACTTGGCAGGTAGGGGCAGGAGGATGGAGGTACATAGTGAGTTCTAGGACAGTGAGACTGGAGAGAGAGAGAGAGAGAGAGAGAGAGAGAGAGAGGAGAAACAGGGTAGATGGAAATAGAAAAAGAGATAACCTTAACTTTTATATTTTAAAAAAGCTATTGATCTTTTGTTTTGTCCAGAAGAGTCCTCATTATCTAGGAAATGCAGTTATCACAGCAGCTGGACCTATTTCCTGAATGCAAAGTGACCCTTCTGTTATTTAAAGATGTAAAAAATGCTGGTGACTTGAGAAAAAGGGCCATGGAAGGATCTGTCGATGGTTCACTGTTAAATCCTACTGTGGTAAGTACAAAGTACGAGAATGAATGGACCATGCTAGGCATTTAAGAACATGTTAACATTTCAAAATGGGATGTAGCCTAAAATTCTGTCACATTCAGGTAAAAAGTACTTGCCCAAGTCATACTTGGCTCCCTTATATTTAAAACAGTCAGTAGGGGGCTGGAGAGATGGCTCAGTGGTTAAGAGCACTGGCTACTCTTGCAGAAGACTTGGGTTCAATTTCTGCACCCACATGGCAGCTCACAGTCACCTGTAACTCCAACACCCTCTTCTGACCTCTGCAGGCATAATACAACATGAGTGCACTTACATACATGCAGACAATACACACATACACATAAAATAAAAAATGATTATTTTTTAAAAACCAGTCAATGGAATATAAAGTGCTATACCTTTGGATAGGGGCAGAGTATAGGGAAGGCCTAAGGCCTAACTATGACCACCTTTGTGGTTTGGCAGATATCTGGGTCTCCTGCTTGTCTGTGAAGTCAGAGTCTAAACAAGATGACATGTGTGAAGGAGTCATGGCAAAGCACCTAAGGGTACATACTTGGACATCATGTTACAGAACTTAACCCTAGCTCTGCCACTTACTATGACTGAGGAAGTCTCAGGCATCCTTACATAGTGTGTGTTAGGTGTCTAGCATTGTTCTAAGCACTTTATATGTCCTACCTTAATCCTAGGAGATGAGTACTGCTAATTTCTTCCTCTGTCAGATTAAGCAATTTGCCTAGATTCTCCACGTGGTAAGCAGCAGAGCTGGGATTAAAACCCAGACAATTCTTTTCCTAAGTTATCTCATCTATTATGTGTGAATAACATTGATTTCATGGAGTAGTTGGAATATTAAAAAATATATATAGCTAAAATTTAAAATATGGCTTATCTCATGTTAACCCTCAAGAATCTCACAGCTTTAAAATTCTAATTTTATTCTCTTTGTTAGATTGTTGACCCATTTCAGATACTTGTGGCAGCAAACAAAGCCGTTCATCTCCACAAACTGGGAAAAATGAAGACGAGAACTCTGTCTGCTGAAATTATCTTCAACCTTTCTCCAAATAATAATGTAATGTGGAACCAACTGACTTTCTGTCTGTTGGCCATGTCATCATGGCATGTGTTTCCCAAGGTGACCTTCGGGGCTAGGTTCCTGCAAGCTGTTTTAGTAATAAGCCAAAACAGTTGTGAAGACAGAACTGGACAAAGTTGAGGGTTATCACCACCTCTTATTAGACAAATTAGCTGTGGTAATACGTTTCCCAATCAGTAAAAGTTTAAATTAAGTAAAACTAATAGTATCTGCCCTTACTATGTTCAATAAAGATGCTCCCTTGAGCATTTTTGCTTAAGAAACTGGCAGAAGGGGCTGGAGAGATGGCTCAGCAGTTAAGAGCGCTGACTCCTCTTGCAGAGGACCTGGGTTCAATTCCCAGCACCCACATGGCGGCTACATAACCATCCTTAACTCCAGTTCCAGGGGAATCTGAAGCCCTCTTCTGATCTCCGCGGCATTGCACAACATGAGTGCACTCACATACATGCAGGCAATACACTCATACATATTAAAAAAAAAATTGGCAGAAACAAACCCAAATTATAAAGCATGAAGTATAGGTATGTTCTGCATCACTCTCCCTGTAAACTCCTTGAGCAGGGTGGGATGAGTGTCTTTGTAACACTCAGTACTGGGAACTTGCTGGGGCCTAGTAGAGTCCTTGATACCTTCTCACCCAGAGCGTAGGAAAATTGGGGTTTTAAATTCTCATAGGAATGCATTCCTTTTACTTTTATTAGTGTGTGTGTGTGTATGTGTGTGTATTATGCCTGTATGCATGTGTGCATTTATTCATATGTGTGATATGGGTGCAAGGGTGCCAGGAAATGCTTGTGGAGATCAGAGGATGGCCTTGGGTGTTGGTCCTTGCCTTCTTCATTGTTTTAGATAGACTCTTTGTTGTCTGCCACTGTGTACACTGGGCTATCTTCAACCTCCTTTCTTATGGTAGAAGCACTGGCATTACAGACACTTATACTGGGCCTAGATTTACGTGGTTTTTAGGGTTTTTAACTCAGGTCCTTGTACTTGTATGGCAAGTGCTGTACACATCTCCCCAGCCCAAGGATGCTTTTCTTTCTCTTTTTTTAAAAATATTTTATTTATTATTTTTATTTTATGTGTATGAGTATATTGCCTGCATGTAGGTAAGTGCACCCGTGTCGTGAAAGGCCCTCGGAGGACAGAAGAAGCTGTCGGATCCCCTGGAACTGGAGTTACCGACAGTTGTTAGCTGCCATGTGGGTGCTGGGATGCGAACCCAGGTCTTCTGCAAGAACAACCAGTGTTCTTAACCGCTGAGCCATCTCTCCAGTCCCAAGGATGCTTTCTTAATGAAAGTTACTAAGCTGGTTACAATTCTGTGTGTAACACATGAAAAAGATGACTGAACTCTACTGATGATGTTTCAGTATTATTGTTATAGTGATCAGGTACTAATACATGAAAGAAATAGAAGCCTGTGATATGAATTAAAATACACGTGATTGCCAAGTCTATAAAATGCAGTTAGCATGGTAACAATTCCCTATTACTCCAACTAAAATTTACCACATAATTATTATTTCTTTTTTTTTTTCATCTTTTTGAGACAAGGTTTCTCTGTAGCCTCAACTGGCCTGGAACTTGCTATGTAGACCAGGGATTAAAGGTGTGCGCCTCCATGCCTGGCTCACATGATTAGATAATTGAAGATGCAGTGCCTATTCAGGTTACAATTTTAGGGGTAAAAGAAGCACATATGTTCTTAGGAAGGCAGCTGAATAAGACAAAATTTAAGCTTCCCTAAGATAAATGACTAAATATGAATTCTGATGTAGGGAAATGGTGAGAAAGCCATTCTAAAGAAAGGAGTGCAGTGAGGAGCAGCCTTTGTGCTGGACTCTGGTGCATGCATTCAGAAGCCAAGCCAGGGGAGAGGGTGACCAGAAGCCAGACCACGTGTAAGCACCTGCAGAGCAGAATAAACACAGCAGGATCCCAGACTAGCCAGAAAACAGGAGCAGGGCCTGGAAGGGCACCTGGGGACAGAGGCCCAGTGTTTTGTACACAGCTAAGAAGTCGACCTGATTCCACAGGAACAAGGTGCAGCTGTATGCAGGGAGTATTTTAAAGACAGTAGATGTTGGAAAGGGATTGTGGATGGGGAAAAGTACTTTGTGAAAGGCAGGCAGCCTGAGTAGCAAGTAGGCATGTAAGGAGATGATCCAGACAGAGAACACTGCTCGTTGTCTTTTGTTTTTCACAGATTTCAGAGGCTTTGAAAAAATTCGGTATCTCAGCAAATAACACTTCAGTTCTGATTGCTTACATTGAAGAAGGAGAGAAACAAATAAATCAGGAACACCTGATATCACAAGTGGACGGTCATCAGGTTCCGCTAGCAGTTCTTCCTGAAATAACAAATACCTCAGAAGTCAAAAAGGTTTGTAACCCACATTTTTTTTTTTTTTTTTGGTCTTTTTGAGACAGGAGCTCCCTGCAGCCTCAGCTGGCCTGGAACTCACTATGTAGACCAGGCTGGCCTTGAACTCACAGAGATCTGCCTGCCTCTGCCTCCTGAGTTCTGGAATTAAAGGCATGAGCCACCATGCCCATAATCCACATTTTAAGAGTAGAGGGGGCCTGGAGATATGCCTTAGTGGTTGAGAGCACTGGCTGTTCTTGCAGAGGACCCAGGTTTCACTTCCCAGCACTCACATGGCAGCTAACAACCTTCTAGAACTCTAGATCTAAGGGGTCTGGCACCCTCTTCTGTCCTCCACAAGCACCAGACTTGCATGTGGTGCACTTACATGCAGGCAAAATACTCATGACCTAAAAAATAAATCAATCTTTAAAAAATATTAAAAAATATAGTAGATGAAAACTATAAGAAACTGGGTATCTTTAAATATTAAGCTATGTAGTACATTTAGAATGTTAAATAGATGGGGGCCAGCAGATGGCTCAGTGGGTAAAGAAAGGGTGTTTGTGGCCAAGCACCTGAGTTTGATCCCCAGGACACACGTGGTGGAAGACGAGAACTGATTTCCAAAGGTTCTCTGATCTCTGCACACACACACTATAAATAAATGTAATTAAAAAATATTTTTTTTCTTTTTGAGGCAGTCTCCCTGTAGCCCCAGCTGCCCTGGAGCTCACTATGTAGACCAGGCTGGCCTTGAACTCACAAAGATCCGCCTGCCTGTGCCTCCTAAGTGCTGGGATTAAAGGTGTGCATTTCCACACCCACATATTTTGGCATTACAATGATGCAACTATCAACACTGTATAATTGTATGATTTTTTTTTTTTTTGGTCTTTTTTGAGACGGGGTCTCAAAAACTCTATGTAGACCAGGCTGGCC